GATATGCAATCTTAAACCAGTATTGGAATCAAACGTGATATGAATCAATTTCCAGTGGTTGAAATACCTAGTGAAGTTAACAGTAACTGTATTCACCATTAGATAAAGTTAAATAAACAAGAGGGATCTCTTACGTATTAATTTTGGATTCAGCCATTTAAAAACAAACGAGACAAATCAACCTGTGTCTGAATCAGCTATTTGAGTCAACGTGATCGGATGGAGGATGATGTATAACTATGGGCATTGCAATTATCGGCTCAGGCCAACATTTTGGTTAGTTCATAATTTTGAGTTGATCACGTATGTATATGTCAAGTGACCCCGCAATATAATGATTGGTCAGACTTGATCAGTTAATGTTATTACTCTAGCACTCACTTATTTGCATATTATTAATATATGCGCAAGCCTAAGACTATATAAGGTAACATGCTTATAAGCAATCAAAAGCACTAGGAGGTGGAGATTGGGCTAGTTTCTCAGTTATGTTATTGAATCTCAGGACATGGGGACTGCTGCCGGACAGCGCACAAATTGTTGCAGTCGATTCATTATTTAACATAAAAATTAATTAACAACTTGTGTAACACAACTATTTTAATATTATGTCAAAACCTATTTCAAAAAGTGAACTTCATCGTTTACATACTCCGCAATTCTATACTAGATGGCGTTGTGCGTATGACGTCATATTTTAGATGGCGGTGTTAAGATTCTCCGCGACTTAATGACCTCCGCCAGTACATTTGTGTTTGAGTGAAGACTACTATCAAGGTGCACTCTCGGGCTACGTCCTATTTGGAATAGTCACTTGAGACTCCTCTGTTTAGCAAGTCGCGGACACTAATATACTTTTATCTCTCAATAATTGTATATTTTTTTGGATTAGAGGACTGCATCCGCCACCTTCGTCCAAGCGGAAAAGGTTGTGTGGGACTGCGCCTATTTTATTTTATCGAAATATATACAAACGTTGGCAACATCGACCTTTCTTTCCTTTACGAACGCGTGACGACACCGGAACTACAACCCCCTTACAAACTGGCGCCCAACGTGGGGCCTACAACTACAATCCTTTAACCTCGACATTAAATATCAGCCTGGAAAATTCAATACAGTGGCTGACGCATTGTCTCGTCCGCCCTGTTGTGAAGATTCGTCCTCTTGCGACATATGTTCTGTAACGATAGACATGCCCACAAGAAGTGTCAAAGAAATTCGAGAAGAGCAAATGAAAGATAATAAAATTAAGAAAATAATAGAAGCCTTAGAGGAAATCAATGGGAACGAGAATGCTGTGTACTGGAGCAACAAAGGTTACCTAATGAATAATGGAATGCTGTACCGTTTGCATCCTGATTCGGAAGTGGATGACGCTCAACTGGTAGTACCTAGTCATGAATGGCAAAACGTTCTCAATGCCTACCATGACGATCCCTTGGCAGGACATTACGGTGCCGAGAAAACTTATAAGAAGATAGCCAACAGATATTATTGGAGTGGGATGCATAGATATATTACAAGTTATGTAAAGAACTGTCTAGAATGCCAGAGATATAAGCCCTCTAATCAAAAACCGGCGGGACTACTTCAAACTACTTCTATGAGCCAACGATTTGAAGTAGTATCATTTGATTTGTTTGGACCTCTTCCACCCACTGAAGATGGGAAGACTTGGATCTTTATAGTAGAAGACATAGCTTCTCGTTGGGTAGAACTCTTTGCCCTAAGGTCTGCTACCGCTGAAAATTGCGCTCTGACCTTGATCAACGAAGTGTTCCTAAGATATGGGGTACCTAGAAGACTAATTAGTGATAATGGAACTCAATTTGTGAGCGCTGTAATGCAACAAGTTACTTATACTCTCAACATAAAACATCATTATACGCCTTTATATCACCCTGAAACTAATCCTGTAGAACGTCGCAACCGAGATCTAAAGACTCAATTGGCCATTCTAGTGCAAGGAAGAAAACATAACCAATGGTCTGAATTGCTACCTATAATTCGATTTGCCATGAACAGCGCAAACTGTTCTGCCACAAACAAGACTCCTGCTTACCTGACGTTTGGAAGAGAACTACGATGCCCAAGAGATAATGAGGTGGATTTCAGGAACATTATGATTTCCGAAAACTTTATACCAGAAATAACTCCGACTCTAAACCAACTCGCTGAGACACTACTCCAAGCGAGAGAGGTTCAAGAGATGAAAGAAGAAAAACGCAAAGACTATGTTGATCAGCATAGACGAAAACTTCCCGAATACCAACCAGGTGATATGGTACTCGTTAACCTGCATCCTATAAGTAAAGGATCTCAGGGCATATCTGCCAAGTTTGCCCCGCGTAGAGACGGACCTTATATAATTAAAGAGCAACATGGGCCCGCATCTTTCAAGTTAGCCTCAGTAACTGACCCTGGAACTTCAATTGGACTGTATCATGCGTCCGCTTTAACTCCATACAAAGGAGGCGATGAGATGACAGCCCCAAACCCCATTCAACCTCTTCGTAGTAGAGGACGACCAAGAAAGCAAGTTGTTGAAAAGAAAACAATTCCTTCAACAGCCAAACGAGGCCGTGGACGGCCTAAGAAGCAAGAGTAAGACACCTTACCAGTCCCTCTCGTCGAGACGACTTCGGGGCCCGAGGGGGAGATTGTAACACAACTATTTTAATATTATGTCAAAACCTATTTCAAAAAGTGAACTTCATCGTTTACATACTCCGCAATTCTATACTAGATGGCGTTGTGCGTATGACGTCATATTTTAGATGGCGGTGTTAAGATTCTCCGCGACTTAATGACCTCCGCCAGTACATTTGTGTTTGAGTGAAGACTACTATCAAGGTGCACTCTCGGGCTACGTCCTATTTGGAATAGTCACTTGAGACTCCTCTGTTTAGCAAGTCGCGGACACTAATATACTTTTATCTCTCAATAATTGTATATTTTTTTGGATTAGAGGACTGCATCCGCCACCTTCGTCCAAGCGGAAAAGGTTGTGTGGGACTGCGCCTATTTTATTTTATCGAAATATATACAAACGTTGGCAACATCGACCTTTCTTTCCTTTACGAACGCGTGACGACACCGGAACTACAACCCCCTTACACTTGCTCATAAGATATATTTGTTTAATCAATAATCAGACGGCAAACGATGTTTTAGTCTCTGCTATGGATCCCAGTTATAACTGAGAGCATTGGAGAATTTCGGAAATCGTAAACGTTACGACATGACTGGCTCTGAGATAACGATATTGAACTAAAATTTTCATTACTGAGATTTTCGTACGCTAATACAATTTTGGAAATTTTGGAAAATTATATGTTGAGTGTATGAGTGCGTACACATACTATCATAGTGTATGAGTGCGTACACATACTATCATCATACATCTCAGCAGTACTATAATATATACTGCATAAAGTCGATGTTTAACAGATACTTCTTAGACAAAAACACTTATTGGCTTCTGAGAACAAAGTTATGTGAACATGATAGTCATGTATTATTAATATTGCCCTATTATGAAAGCTCATACGCTGAACTGCGTCACGCGTCTGATTTTCAGAGGGGGGAATGTGACTGTCGGTCAGGTACCCCTAAAAATATAAACAAAAGTATCCCAACATTTTAAAGTATCGACTTTCCAATGAGCCACATGTTAGGCCATTTATCTTATACTTTATGGGATCCACACTATGGATAATTACTGACAGGCAATCGAGTTGCAACTTGTTTAAGGATCTTAAGAATAAGTGGCACCGCTGGGCGCCCAATACAATACGAAACGTCACATCTGGTTGCAATAACACTGACCCGTAAAAGGTCCAGAGAAACAATTAAGACATTGCACAAAAAGTGTCATAAAACCCTAAATGCAAGGGCCTGGGAAAAGGGCTCTGGCGAGATGATGTTAGAAATATGATGAAGACGATAGGTTACTTACTCTTGAACTGCGGAGACGATAGGTTGTCTTAGATAAGATAGAACTGATTCTTAGAATTCAGTATTACAAAGTAAATTCAGTGTGAAGTGTGGAAGGAGAACAGTGTGAGTGCAGCGAACGGGTATGTGAATGTAGTCTTATTGTAGGTTAGGGTCTAATCCCATCCTATTTGTATCCCGGAACAGTGCTTTGCACTGTACTTGTTGTACGCGCATCTCCAGGGAGCGGGGGTAGGCTTCACCAAGTATCTCGGAGGCTCTCCATACATTTGATAGCTCTGTTCGAAAGGAACACTAGATTCAAAACACATGTGTGTCTCGTCAAATCCAAACAAAGCTGTGGTGGCAATCTCTAATCTAAAAAAAATATATTTGACGAAACATGCACTGTCGAAACGGGGTTCGATTAAGGAGGTGTAATGATGTGTAGATCTGAATGGCCACTTCGGCGTACACAAGTGCATCTGTAAAGTAATCTTCCACGTAGTATACACCCTCACCTTTTGCTGCCCTCTTATTCTATTAGTAAATGTAGAATCATTATAATAAGACTTCCTTTCCCTAATGAATTCGCTAATTCCTTTTGTACTTGCTTTTAAAATATTATAAATATAAAGTATAAATAACATAATTAAACCAATAAAATAAATTATGTTATTTATTGGGAATTCATTATCCCTGTAAACGGTGGGAGAGTGACCAGCAACAGGACGAGCTCTACAGGACTGGGCGGATGGCGGAGCTCAGTCCCTTGCCCATTTCCCTAGAAAGGGTAAGCCGAATATCATCCCCTCCTTGATTTAGGAAAAATGAAAATTTTATTCAGCCAAGGGTCGGCTAGAAACAGTCACAACGGCAAAAATAAATAATAAATAATTGGTCAAATCTGGCATCTGTCTGTCAGTAATCCTCCTTTTATCCCGAATTAAAAAAAACTATTTTTTCCAACATACATGATAATAAGGCTGCAAAAACAGTTGCAAGCCAATGACGGCCAAAATCTACTAAAATTGGTGAAATAATAAACATAGTATACATAAATGAGCGCCTTTATTAATCCCTTCCGGGGCTTAAAGGCACAAAGTAAAAAAAATAGGTAAATTTAGATATTCCAGTTTCTAGTTGCTTATGTGCATATGGTACATTATTTTATTCAATGTGGGTTAGCTATACTATAAAATGATTATTCCTCTTTTCGTTCAGAAATTTAAACACTAATAAGTTTTAATTATTAAACGTTTATCACTTGGATGTCAGTTTCTCATTTCATATTTCACCCCTTTTTCTAAAATGCGAAGATCTCTGTCTGCCTTGCTCTGAAAATCAGCACCGTGGAATTGGAGAGCTAAGCTTGCACATATGGCTCAATCGGTTTCACTGAAAACTCTCGTAAAACAACTAAGCGTTGTGTTTCGCCGTGTGATTGAGATACCTGGAAGCCCAATCCCTGCCCTTCCCCTATCCATTCCCAATCCCTTATCCGCAAAACTCCTTATCCCTAAAACGTTGCAACACACTTGCAACTCTTTGCTTACCAACAAGTAATCCGCCAGCTCGTTTACCGCCGTATCACTTAAAATAAAAACACACAAAGTAAAATCCAGCGAAAGCTGTAACATCAGTACACGATCATCTTTCAAACGGAAACTATTAGCAACACTCGCGAGCCAACCGACCCTTACAGTACATATACATGGGTACACCTATATACCTATATATTGTAGGTACACACATAAAGCCATGTCATCTGTTCCTCATCACCAAAAGTTGCGGCAAATAGTGAAACGTTAAAGCATTTATGCGCCGCGAATTTCCATACGAATTCTCCAATCAATAGTTATAGGAACTCCTGAAGATTATAATTAAACTTTTTGTACTCATACATCATTGTACCAAAGTCTAAACAGTTAGTTTAGAACATTTTTGAACAATCCTTTAAACGAGATTAATTTTCCAAACTAAATCTAAAAACTCTTTTCCAATAATTTCCTTTTATATATTTTTCAGACTATGGTGTATTGCACATTAAAACCAAGTTTCATTGCAATCAGTTTAGCAGTTTCTACATTTCGACTTGAAAGTTTGTATGAAGTCAGGCGACGCGTAAATGCCCTTAACGAGGGACATAATGGCTGACCCTATTTTACACTGCAACCATCTATGTACGCAATTTCTTTGAGGTCACAGGATGTCCAAAGGATGGGACGAACCCATCGCCCATAAGTTCTGAAGCACCCCATTTCCTTTAAAGGGGGCCCTTTTGATAAATCCAACCAAATCAATTTTAATGGATATCCATATTTCAATCGAAGATGTTGGGTAGTCTCTTTTATTGGTTTGGGAACGATTTTCTGCACATTATTATCGACTTTGTTGATGGGATTATGTGATAGAAAATTTAATAGAATTACATGTGTATTTTTTATTATTTGGTGTTTTAAATGCAGTAAATCAAAATAAACTTTAAATGAAAATAAATAGGGCGCAGATACCTTTATCACAAACAAAACTAAAATCATTCTTCTTCTTTTACAGAAAGAAACTGAGCAGGATTAGCAGCAGTTCCATAATTTCCACTCCTCGGAGGCGGTTCAGGAGTGCAGCCTCAGCTGCCAGGTTTACCATCTTCAGAGCCAACAGAGCTGGCAAGCTGCGAGCCAAGTCATTCGCCAAGAAAGAAAAGAAAGCTACTCAGACCCTCGCCATTGTTTTAGGTAAGTGCCAAATAAGAGTGTTAATCACGAGGGCAGGAAAAATATCTATAATGACACTGGTAACAGCAACCACCAAAATTCATCTTATCCCTACAAATATTTATGAACCATAATTCTCTTCAACAGGCGTTTTCCTCTTCTGTTGGGCTCCATTCTTCAGCTGCTCGGTCCTGGACGCCATGTGCTCCAAATTTGGTCTTCCCTACTCCCCTGGTGTGACGGTGTTCATCCTAACCACGTGGCTGGGCTACATCAACTCGTTTCTCAACCCCGTCATCTACACCATCTTCAACCCTGAGTTCAGGAAGGCGTTTAGGAAAATACTCCATTGCGGCACCTAGCCTTTAGATTACTACGTAGTTTACGACTAAACTTGTGTTTGGACTCGCTCAAGAATAACCTAGCAACTGCAAAAACCTGTCTGTAATTCTCTTTTCCATCTTTATTAAATAAAAATCGAATTTACTTTGTTTTAACACTTTATAAAATGTGTATAAAATCTTCAATATATATTTGGTTCGAAGGAAATTATGAGGAATATGGTTAATAACGGCTGTGATTGCATTATAAGTAGATGGCGCGTACCGACGTAAAACTTATTTGTAAACTAAACATCATCTTTTGTGAAATACCAAGTTTCATCTGTGTTTTCTAAAAATATTTTGATCCGAGGAGAACGAATTATAATAAACATAAAATATGAAAATAATGCTTAAATCCCAAACCCCATCAAGTATTACTTGACTCCCAATCGCTAATAGATATAAATCAGTATCCGCCATTTTGGAACGGTCAACCAAGATGGCCGCGGCAAAATGGCGTTTGTAAATATTTGTTTTTATAAATTGTCTGAGCTCAAGTTGAGAACTACGTAGTTTATTTAAGGTATTGTTAGTCGGATATTGCTGTAGTATATATTCTCAGCTAAATTATTTCGTATGCAGCTAAGAAAATAAAGGACACAGAGATGAGGATTGATTGATTACTGAGTCGAGGAATTGTTATAAAAGATATGGTTCACTGATTTAAGAGTGGGAAAGCCATGCTTCGACACGAATGGTCCTATGGCTATCACAGGAAACCGGCGTGTAACAACCACGACATTGTGTTTCACTGTGTGAATAAAGTTACCGGAGGCCCAATCCTTCCCTAATCCTAAAATCCCGCAAAAGGTCTGCAACGCACTCGTTACTCCTCCGTTGTTGCGCCGCTGATTACTTACCATCTGGTCGGTTGCCGTCCTAACACATAAAATAATGAATGAATCTATTTCCTTAGCTACATAATAAATAATTTTGCTGTATTCTTCTAATGTATCCGTCTGAGTAGGTTATAAAACGGTATCTGAAAGATACTCTTTCTAAGTTCTAAGTAAAACGTTTCTTTATAGGTACAGAGTGTTCGGAAACTGAATATTTTCGAACATTATGGAGAAATGTTTGTATATAAATAGGTAATATTATTAAACGGTCAATTTAATAAATCATATAATAAATAGAAAAAATATATAATCGTAATATTGTTGTAGGTAGTATTAAAAATACGCATTGGTTGTAAATAGATTTATCCAAGATTACAGCTTGTTTAGTTGCAGCTTGCTTGGGTAGTTTCCTAGGTCAAAAATAAATTAATTCGACGTTTCAATACACTAAAATATTGAAAAATAACTATACTTAAACTAAAACTTAGTGTATCGTTTGATCGATGAGATCAAACGATACACTAAGTTTTAGTTTAAGTTAAGTTAATATTTTGTAGCTAATTATTAAGAAATAAGTAAGCTATTTGACGCAAAAATACTATGACGTCATACCGCAGTTTTCCATGCAAATTCCGTAGAAAAGTATCGTTTTTGACATTTGAATAAAAGTATTGAATTTGACTTGTTGGAAACTACCGTATTATTGTTCATGTATTACTTTCTTTAGAAGAAAAGCCCTATAATGTTTAACGATATTCATTTGTTTTGCATTTGTTTTGTCTCGGCAAAAAAGAATAGCTTGCTATGAATCTAATAAAATATCGATTTAAACACTGACATGCAATTTAAAACTTTAACTCAATTATGAAAAGGTTCATTATGATATTGTACTGGACATATTAAGCAAACGTATGTTTTATTACAATGTAAGTAGGTACATCTAAAATATAAGTCAAACATTTTGCTTAAAACTTCTGAACAGCACGATCTTGTACACATGCAATAAAGTTGCATATCTAAATGTTCTATTTCCGTAATTGTTGATATTCTCGACCAAAATTTGTGCTGCGGATCCTACCTGTTGCATAATACACTTTGTAGCTTATCACAAAGTACTAAGACTTAAGATCCTTTGTAAGCAGTTTTTCTACCTTCTATAAGTTACCCTGTGGTTGTGAAGTTCCTTTTGCAAGATATAGCAATAAAATGTATGTATGTATGACATTTGTATGCCTTTTGTATGACTTGTATGGCCCATGGCCCATGTATGTTCGACTGTATCCTTAGAATTATCCTTAAGGCTATTTATAGTATACTTAGATAAGTAGATACCAATTGAACATAACAACCATTTCAGTCAGCTCTTTTTCATTGCACAAGAATCGATTCCAAATTTTAAACGCACAAATATTTTCATCCCTACCGATAGTGAAATTAATTCTCATTAAAATAGTTTTAAAAGTTATTTTAATTATGGCGTCATGGTATGGTTGAGTTACTTCACACTTAAAAACCAATTCACACTGCGAAATTCGCGCGGTTTTTTTTCGCACTGCGACGCGTTTGGCATTAAATAGGCGCAGAGGCGTATTCAACCTGGTGAGCGTAGCTAAGGCGCCTTTAACTCTTTCCAATGAGATTCGCTTCTACACCCTTAAATATTTTAATTATTTTAAAAGTGATTTTAATTGTGGTGTCATGGTATTGTTGAGTTACCTAACCTTATAAGCCTGCAGTCGCCTATAGTTGTAATACACTGTCAAACAAAATCGGCGCGGATTAATGTTCGCAGCGCCTCGCGTTTGGCATGATATAGGCGCAGAGGCGGATTTTACTCTTTATCTATTATCTTGTTTGGTAATAAGGGGAAATATGTTTAATATGTTATTATTCTCAAGCCCACCTGTAGCTGCCTATAAAACCTTAGTCCTATACTCTAGTCAGAGATATTTGCCAAAAATGTATATAAAGTATAGATATATATAGAATATGTTGTAAATATAATAAATATATATATTACAATATGTATAAATGTTAGTAAAATATGTCATAATAATTATAATATGAAGTTGTATTTATTGATGTTGAAATAAATGGCGCATTATGTGTTTGGAATTACATTTGTTTTTTTTATGTATCCCACAGATTACTATAAACTAGTGATTAATCCCGGTTTTTAAATAAATTCATAATTGTCATACAGAAACTGTGTTCTATGCGGACTTTGTGAAACAATTGCACGATGTTTCCATTCACCGTATATCAGCGGTGCCTAATCGTAGAAAGAACATATAACTAGAAGTCACATAGGTTTCGATACCACACCCTCACCCATGAGATGCGGCCTTAACCTCCGGGCTACCATGACGTTAAGCACTGACGGTATGGACGGCCATAGCTGAGTCACAAAAGAATATCATTAATCATCTTTTTTTGTGAGGGGAAAATCATCAAATGAATTCTCCCGCCCAGGGCCGGGCGCCCCGGCTGAACATCAGCTGGGGCTGATGTTAGTAGGGCCCCATCTGTGGTGGTCTATTGGCTCTTTGAGGCGCGCGCGGAACGCTACGCGCCGTACGCTCGGGCCTGGTTCTGGTCGGGCGGCGAGCTACCCTTACTCGCCGACCGCAGACCCGATCGGAGAACGCTACTGACCAGTCTTTGTTCCCTCAGTCAGCTATTTCATCACCTGGAAGTAGGGATGGAATAAAATGTATTCTTTTCTACGACAAGCTAAGTACATCACGACAAAATTATATTATGTTGTTGCATGCAAAAATCTTGAAATAATATCTCAAAATTGATAATAAACTGTCATTTTTGATAATTCGAAAAAGTATTGTTGCCAATTGTTGCCAACTTTAATCCTACTAATGTGAAAGTTTGTGAGCATGTATGGATGGAGAATGTGTTTGTTATTCTTTCACTCAAAAACGGATGGACCAATTTAGTTGAAATTTGGTATAAAGATAGGTTGGATTAACACAGGCTTGGCGGGCGGAACCTAGTAACTTACAGCAGAGACTCAGTTGCCATAGAAAAAATGGGTACTTACCACCCAATAAAAAAAAGCTATAAAGGACTTATAAATCACATTGCATTAAGTTAATCAGTGCTTGAAAATGTTAATCCGTTCCTGCAATTTATTCCTCCGAAAAAATCAAGTATGAAGTACTTTAATGAAAAACCATTGCAATACCATTAATTACTGAATCGTGGAACATAACGAAGCATACATTCCATTAGCCAATGGCTTTCAATCAAACTGAAAGCCAGGTCGTCCGTAATTGGTCGATACGTAATTTTTATTGTGCATCCGTGATTCTGATTGGACGCTGGAGCAATTTGTCGTGAAGGAATGTTTGCTTTTATAAAACTGACGTGGTTTATGCTGCGGGGTCTGATGGTTTATGCCGTGATGTCAACACAGGGGACAATTTTATTTTAAGTAGTTATAATTAGTAAAAACTTTAGGTACCTACTTCTCTTGTGCAACTTGAGTATCAAGCTCGCGACACTAGACTGCCACTGCCACAACGAGAGATCTCTGATTTTGTTTGTTGAATTATAAATGAAATTGCAAATGTAACTACGCTACTGACTTGCATGCCGTACTTAACGGTAGAATATGGGGACTTTGTTATACATAGTCTGGCCATAAATACTGTTACAATTAAAAATAAACAAAATATTACATTTGAATTTGGAATCTGTCGTTTTTATATATTTTTTCATTGTGTTTTCTTATTTTGGCGCCAATAAATTGTTCAATAATTTGCGATATTAAAATGGAGTGGGGTGATAAAGAGAACCGAATCGCTGTGATTGCATTACACAAAGTGGGTATGGAGCCAAATGCAATTTTTAAAACTCTCCACACGCTTGGCATTAGTCTAATGTTTGTGTACCGGGCTATTAATAGGTACAATGAGGCCTCCTTTGTTTGTGACATAAAAAGATCTGGCCGTCCACGTAGTGTTCGTACGAAAAAGGTGGTCACAGCAGTAAGGGAAAGAATTCGAAGAAATCCTGTCCGAAAGCAAAAGATTTTATCTCGGGACATGAAGATAGCACCTAGAACCATGTCGCGTATTTTAAAAGACGACTTAGGACTTTCAGCCTATAAGAGACGCACTGGACATTTTTTAAATGATAATTTAAAAAAGAATAGGGTGATAAAATCTAAACAACTACTGAAGCGGTACGCAAAGGGAAGTCACAGAAAAAAATTGTTTACGGATGAGAAAATTTTTACAATTGAGCAACATTTTAACAAACAAAATGACCGTATTTATGCTCAGAGCTCTAAGGGTGCTTCTCAAGTAGTCGACAGAGTGCAACGTGGGCATTATCCGACTTCAGTGATGGTTTGGTGGGGTGTTAGCTATGAAGGAGTGACTGAGCCATCCTTTGCTCAAAAGGTATCAAAACATCGGCACAAGTGTATCAAAATACCATTCTTGAAAAGGTAGTTAAGCCCCTTAACAACACCATGTTCAATAACCAACATAAAGCTCGGTCCACGCAGTCTTGGTTGGAAAAGAACGTTTTCGACTTCATCAGAGCTGAAGACTGGCCGTCGTCTAGTCCCGATCCTAATCCGCTGGATTATGATTTATGGTCAGTTTTAGAGAGTAGGGCTTGCTCTAAACGTCATGATAATTTCGACTCCCTAAAACAATCCATACGATTGGCAGTGAAGAATTTTCCCATGGAAAGAGTGCGAGCTTCTATTGATAACTGGCCTCAACGTTTAAAGGACTGTATTGCAGCCAATGGAGACCACTTCAAATAAGCTTTTTATGTTTTCAATTGTTTTATATTTATGTATTAAACTTACATACTGTAAAAGTAATAAATGTTATTTGCAATATTTTTTAATTTGTTACAGTATTTATGGCTAGACTAGATACATAATATGAAACACCTATTGTATATTTTAACCAATGTTTGCAAGTTAATAAATGATTTAATGGTGGACTGACAACATTCGCAGGATGGCTGGCAGTGGTTGGATAAGAAGAGCTGAAAATCGAGCTCAGTGGTGTGCAATTGGGGAGGTCTATGTCCAGCAGTGGACGACAACAGGCTGATGATGATGATGATGATGATGAAATGATTTAATTTGAATTCGAAATTCCCACATAAGTTATGGAACAAAGCATAATCACCTCGAATGGTCTGAGATCTATCCACTGATCTTAGGGATCTTTACTTTCTCTTCCCTAAGGTTACGTTACCTCATTACTCCACCACGGGAGACCACGGTTGATTGACTCACGGATTATTTGTCTTAGCAATCAATTTGTGACAGTCAATACATTAATCGGCGACAAATCACTAAAGCATACTTCTCTGTCAATGCTGGTTCTTCAGCTCCAATCAATGTTTTTCTTTCCCACTGTAAGGTATCTTTTTAATCTCTATGACAACTAACCCGCAACACAATAAGTGTGAAAGAGCCAAGCTTCGGTACGAATGGGTAAAGCAACACTCACATTGTGTTTTGCCGTGTGAGTGAGGTTATCGTATTCCCAATACACCTCCATTCTCAGTCCTCAAATCTTCTATCCTAAAATCCATAATAACTCACCAGGGGCCAGCAACGCACTTATAGTAACTCCTTTGGTACTAAGTGTCCATGGGCAGCGCTGATTGTTTACCACCAGGTAATCCGTCTGCTTCTTTGCCGACCTATGACAAACAAAACAAGCCTGACAATGGATACTGTCCATCAACTACATTAGCCACGATCAAAATTCTACGATACACTAGGGACACTGGTACTAGCCTTAATCTTCAAGTAATCTGTTCAAGTCCATTTACAATATTCACTGCCTGTTACTTAGATTTGTAAAGCTGTGTAGGTAGGTTCCTTTAGTGTCAATCTGATATGAATAATTCTGTAATTTAACAAGTTTTGGGACTAACCTCATCAGATGTCTTGTTGTTCTGTTGGTCTTCCCTGTGGGTGGTGTATCTTCATTGGTCAATCAAATAAACCTAAATTATTTGAACAACAGTACACGAAAGTTGCACTAGTTTCAAGTTACACCGGGACTCTTATTCATGAACAGCATGCACGTCGCGTCGACGTCGCACAGTTAAATCAAGCATTTAGAGTCCCGTTGAGACTTGAAACAATAAATTTAGAACGTCTCACGATAGTTGCTACTAAAAAAAAATTTTTTTCTTTGTTTTCATTTATCAAGTTTTAACTGGTAATTCTAATAGGTACGTCATCGTTCGAACATTTTTTTCTTTTGTTTAACGTGTATGTATGTATCAATGAATAATTAAACTTTATATAATTTTGTCATGATGTCATGTAAGTTTTCCGGTAAGTTTGTATTATTTTTATATAAGTAAGCCTATAACTTATATGTCTGGTGTAAGCCGTAAATGTGAGTTGGAGTATAAATAAATAAATAAATAAAATATAACATTTAACATACCTTCACAACATTAGTAATAATACAAATTAACTTTAATTTTACTTTTATTGATTTCTATTCTAATGGGGGCTTTAAACGTCTCCATTTTCGCCATGAAACAGTGGCAACACCAATCGTCTCGCCATACCGCATCCCTAGTCTATTTACACAGGTGAAAAAATTTATCCGCAACTCGATCATTTACTTGCTTTCATAGTATTGCGTTGTTGTACAGTTAGTTATTTACTTGTTCAAGAATTGGGTAGTTTCCTAGGTCAAAAATAAATTAATTCGACTTTTCAATACAATAAAATATTGAAAAATAACTAAGTATACTTTTATTTCATCGATCGATCGATACACTGAATTTTAGATATTTTTAGCAATAAGTAAAACTTTAGCAAAAAGTAAATTATTTAACGTAAAAAAAACTGTGACGTCATACATAACTCAGTGTTTCATACAAATTTCATAGAAAAGTATCGTATTTGACGTTTGGATAAAAGTATTGAATTTGACTAGTTGGAAACTACCGTATTGCTTGATGAACAAAGAGAGAAGAAGAAACAAAAGAAAGTTAAGAGTCCAAACGTAGGTTTACGCACACGAATGGATTTCCGTAAGACCTTGGGTGCTTCATATACTTTTTCAATGAATGAAGTTCATAAGTTCCTGATTATTACAAAAAGATTAACACCAGAGAAGTAACAAGAACTTTGCAGGCATTTTGGAAGTTGTTAAGAATTTGAGGATTAGGGATTGTGGGATGGGACACAAGAGGAAGGACTGGACTCCGATAACCTCACCCACACTGCAAAACACGGTGAATTATTTCACGCTGGTTTTCTGTGCGGCAACTTCGGTCGAGCATGCAGCATGCTCATTCAATCCGGGAGCTTGACTGTCCCGCAATTAAGTAGTTTCTAAAGGTCAAAAATACATTAATTCGACGTTTCAATACAAATAAATATCGAAAAATAACTAAGTATAAGTACTTTTACTCATCGATCTGTCGGTTTTGATTTTTAATTAGGTACTTAAGCAAATTTTTAAATGTTTTTGTTTTTTTTTAACAATGCGGTTGTGATTCTACGCTAAGGTAGTATTTAATTAGTTGCTAATTAATCGCAAGGCGTAAAGCTAAGCAAATCTTTGTTACATTTTATTTCTAACCCTTCTTTAGATCGCTTCGTTATCGTATGGTACTGTTATGGTCACCAATAGCTTGCGATAAAAGGGTGACTAAACTTACTTGCAACAACTGCGACGTCTCCTAAATTTTATCTGAGGAATAAAATTATTACAAAACAATTTTATTCCTTATGATAAAATAGGTAGTTGCTGTCACTGTCTTACACAAACATTCTGACGCGACAGCAGGCATCATATTATTCCCCAGATAACTTTTATCAAAGCATAGAAAAATTAACCCTTAGACTTTTAAATTACTTCAAAGCATACAGTTTTTGCGGCTTTCGTTTACCTATTTATTTATTTATTGGTTTGTCTACAATTGTCAACATAAATTAATAATAAGGTATACAAACACAGATTTTAAAAATATACTTTGTGTACTATATTAGTAGTTACCCGTGTAAATCTCACAAAAAAGGCAGATCGTAGCGAGCAACAAATAAAGCACGAAATAAATCTACCCGCTTTGGAAAAACAAAATATGAATCATTCCCGTCAGCGCCGTACCACGCCATCTATGCAATAACCTTTGCAACTCACAGGAATTTCAAACATACCACGTAGTCTACAAGTTACGCGTTTCCTAGTAGAGGGTGACGCTTTCTCGATTCTTTTTGTAAGTACGAACCAAGTTTTAACATTTTAATGTAACCTTTTCATACATAAATATGATATATTGAAATATTTTGGCCTCTAATACAAATTGCAACCATGACCTTGTTCGAGCTGTAATAAGAATATCTCCATGATCTGTGTATAGGTGGCGCTACTGACATCAAAAACAACAAAACACATCACGCCCAAATATAACTTACTGATGCATGATTACGTGTTCTTGTGAAATAGAAACACCTTTTTACTTATATCGTACTGCTTTTCAATTCATCACAAAGAAGAAATAGATTTATTTGCGACTTTTCCTTTGCAATAATAAATGCAACAAGAAAATGACGTTTGTTATATTTGAAGCCCTGTTCAAATAAGAGAGTCACGTTGTTTGTCTCTTTTGCACAGCTGCGCATATTTCGTGCGCTAGAGCGAGATCGCAGATTACATGGCTCTGTTTGAAGTAGAACAGTCTTTCGTATCAGCTGACAACCAAAGCAAAACAGTCGGTGCGCGACCATCTTGTCAAAACTCTGAGTCGGTGACAACAAATAAATATTGTAAAATGTCCTAAATCGCTCTAAATGACATAACTATCTTATTGTATTTAATAAAGTATCGTGCATATTTTATGTTGGAGTTGTTTTCGAAGCAGTTACTATATATTTTACTGGATTTTTCGGGTTTGTGTTGCGTCAAATGACGTCATGTATGTGATTATACACGTATCGCGGCTGACGAGTTTGTAAGTATTTTCTTTTATTTCTGTGTTAATTTCATTAATTTAAAGTTCCCGATGCGTAGTTTTCTTTAAGTGCATGTTGTTTGTTTCATTCATGAATCGTTGAGATTCCGTGGGGCCCCTTTGATTGTCCATACGCGTCGAACTCTGTTGGGTATGGATGCCCTTGAAAATTATGCAGCAAAAATCGCGTCGTTGCTGGGCCGATGGTTTATGTGTTTAAGAGCAAAAGCAGTACACAGTTCCATTCATGATGTCGTCTATTTCGCCGTCAACAAAATTGCCGTCGCATTTTGCATGGCAACGTACGTCCGCGACTTGACTAAAAATGGAACGCTCGAGACTCATAGAAAGTATTGTTCTTCAACATCGAAAGTGTGTTTTATATCTGTTTATCGGCACGATAACCCTTTAAAACACGAATTAAATATTTTTCTCACTTTCCATTTCAATTATGAGTGAAGGTAGACGTAAGAACGGGAGCCGTAATGCCTGCATTCGGATATTTTTTTATCTGCATTGCAATCGAAAATATTTAACATCCCTACTCTCTATTTTTACATTAGCAGTGTTTACGTGTAATAGTTGTTATTATCTATAGCTTGCTTATTAGTGGTGGGCGTCACTCATGCAATCATCTATGAAAACATGTATGGGTACTTCCCCATACAACTAAGTAACATTATTCAATAACGCTAGTTATTTTTTTAGTTATGTAGGTAGCTAGCTATACCAATACAATCGACGTTATAGTTATGTGGTTTTGTGATATCGATCGATAAAGCGGAACTTAACATAATGTGTGAAAACATGTGTATACTATGATACATAAATATATCTAAAACAGTTATTTTTAGCTAGCGTCAGTATCCGATCGGCTTTATTATTTTTAATTCCATCGACATAAAAGTGGGTACTTTTTTTATTGTAGTTTATGATCACGTGCCGGCAAGTTACCGCGGTCGGTGTGCACACGACCTAATTTTGTGTCTGTCTATGTTGTTGAGAATCTTAGGTTGAGATTACACAGTCGAACGGGCATGATTGTTGTTTTTGTGTGAACACTAAGCGTTGATATTTTTTTGTTAACAAGGAGGAATAAATTGCTATTTTTTTTTCTGTTTTCCTGAATGCTATTCGAGCGTGCGAATTTTGCGTTTATTTCCCCCAGTCGGTCGCTTCGAAACTGCGGTGAATTTATGAATATAAAACATTCGGTTCACAATTTAACGGTGCAGGTTGTTAAAATTGAGTATCCAATTATTTTTCTTAGCGTTTTATAACAGTGTGGTGTTGCGTAAATATTTCATTGTGTGATGAAATTGTCTGATAAGTAACATAATTGTCACTCGACAATACTTGAGTACGTAGGTTCTCTATTTGTTATTGCTGTCTACGTTTAGTATCTGCAATCGTAGTCAACAGTATTGGCTGGCCAGCTATTAATGCCCGTCAAGCCATTATGGAAAAAAGGAAACGTTAATGACAAAATAAACAACAATATACCAACCTATATATAATAAAAATGATATAAAAATCAATAAAATGAACTTAGGGGTAATTCAAAATAATTTATCATCTTTAAAAACTAATGTTATTACTACAAGTATAATAGAAATCATGCCAAAAAGTCGTGAAGGTCAAATTGATTTTGTTTGACCTTGATGCGAGTGAATTAATGACCTTGATTGTGACGTCAGGTGCATCGCTTCTCAACACAACATAGACAAGCAATCGACCTTACGTTGACGCTATTTTAATAAGGTACACAAATATTTAATGCTGGCGTTAGATATTACATTTTTTGTTTTGTTCTATGTCAGCTGCAATGGCGGAGTTGTCGTACTTACTGTTTATAGGTATGCTTTCAATCTCTTGATTGGCTAAGCTAGGTACTTATGCTATTTGTCGATTGGACGAGAAAAAAAAATAGTTCGTAATTCAATATAAATAGAGAACTACCTATTTTAAAATTAAACATTATAATATTTACTATTTAATTCAAAATTTGTTCTCAATTCAAAATTTTTCGGCCGTTTACAGATTGTGATGGATTTTTGACAGAAATTCCATATGTCCATATATTAAAAATCTATGTTATAAAAATTATGATTTAATAATGAAGTCCAGTTACTTAGTAGCTTGATTGCAAATGGCCGTTCGGCTATACGTCTCTATATACGCTGACATTTCGACAACCAGTTCCCACATACAACTTTTACTTTTTTATATAAAGATCTTAGTTCAATGTTTTCTTTTTTACCGTTCGTATTATAAAGTTTTTTTGAGATTTGATATTTGCCCCGTGCCCTTGACCTTCGGATATTTTTCTGAAAATAAAAACAATGAATTATCTTATCGCGTTCTATTGAATCGTAGTCATCATGTCATGCTGATCTGTATAGTTTTTGTTACTGGCAATGTTATAATAAAAATAATCAATATAATAATCGGTCATGTGGTCTTGTGGTTAAGATTAAAATACATTAATTGTCACTCATTGTCTCTGTGGAAGTTTTAAGACCAGCAGAGCAGTTGTGTTATCTGATGTGCCTGGTCCTTAAGCTGCTATCTTGGACCTGACTATTGAATGTGGAGATTATGGCCAATGACAACCCCTCTAATGTAAATGAGGCCTATAGGCTGTAGCCCAATTGTTGTCTGATAGATCACAGCAAGAGTTTAATTCAACGAAAGGCTAAAAAAATAGCAATGAAGATTTTTAAAATGATCAAAATAATTGTTTTACATAGGCATTGCTCCGGAAGAATAGTGTGAATGACATTGCTTAAACGTTTTCAAAAATTATTCTGTAATCAAAAATTCTCAGTGATTGTAAAGTGATGTTTTATGATTATATCAAGCGTAAAGCGCTTTGCGTTCCGCGCGCGCCTCAAGGAGCCAATATACCATCACAGACGGGTTCCTTTGGGCTGATGTTCAGCCGGGGTTGAGGGACGAACGCAATGAGGCACCGCGGCCTCGGCCTTAAACAGGAGAAGGAACGGAGGGTTTTTAGTCAGTAAGAATCTGACACTCCCTCCCGCCCCACCCTGGGCGGCTGAAGTCTTTTAATGATTTTTCCCCTCACAAAAAAGGGTTCAAGGCATTTGTTTTCAGGTAAACAATTTCAGTTGAAAAGTCAATATTTTACATGGAGCGACTGCCACCTGTTCTCCGCAACCTAACAGATACGAACCGTACCATATATTTGAGATAAAAATAATCAAAAGCCTTGCAAAAAAAAAACAAATATGGTGTAGATATCTAACCACGTTTGGTATACCTTGTTACTACTCCTATTATTTAAAAGCCCACAATAGAAATACATTTTTATCTGCCAATAGTGGTTATTATGGCAAACCGGCGTTAAACATCGCTTACGTTGTGTAAGTGAGATTAATAGATGCCCAATCCCTCTCTGCCGTCCCCAAACTACAAATTCCTAGCAACTCCCAAAAGGGCAGCTGTGCTCTTGTAACTCCGCTGGTGTTGTGTATATCCATGGGTGACGCTGATTGCTTACCATCAAGTGATCCACCGGACTACCGCCTCATCATGTAAAACTCCTTTTACAAGTCTCATCGTCCAGCAGAGCTGAGCTAATGATATTGTCATTTTTTGCAGGGGTCTGTATTCCCCGAGGGTACCTGTTTGTCTTCAAGGCCTGATTGAATAGGTTGCTTATATGCTTCATGATAGGTCGCACCATCGCTTACTAACAGATGTTACGAAATAAAAAACAAAAAAAAATACAGCTTGTAAATCACAGCATCAGTTTTCATCCGTAGATATTAAAATGACATTTATAACTGTATCAGCCAGTAATTGTTCCTCCGTATTGTCACATTGCTAAAGTGCTCGTTCTATCCGGCGAAGCAACGTCCATTCATGTTGTTACTTGCCTCATGGCGATTTCCGTCACCTCATAAAAGCTAAAAAGCTGCTTATTTCAACTGCCTCCTGAACTTGTTTTGTTGGATGTTTTGCTATAGTTTTTTGCTGGTTTATCCTTTATTCATTTATTCATTTCCTTGAACCCTTTGACCTTCATTCATTCTTACAAATTTTATTATGTCCAAAATGTGGACGGCATTGGTGCCATTAGGATTTTCCTCCTCGAAGTAACAAGAAACGGTTTACCTATAATTGAGTTTGGATTTTAATAAACCTCGAAGATTTAGTTTGAAATCCTCAAAAGGTTTTTCATTCAATAAGGATAAGCCTATCCCTTTTAGATAAATCTTTTGCAAACAATTTGAGCTGTTGTCAAACGCTCTTATTTCTTCTTTCAAATTGCTCCTCGGTTACAATAGGAAGACCCAACTAACAACAATTATTAAACGTTCAATTGTCAATTACATAATCACACAAGAGCAAAAGTCCAATTTTGCCTCTTCAGAAATGCCACAAGCCAGCCGGTCTTTAGCACCTACTTTTTTAATAGTTTAATTAACTAATTGTAGTGACTATCGTGATCGTCAAATAATGGACTAAGTACATCAATAGTAATGTGCTGTGGCTTGAGGAAAATTGATATTTGATTCCTTATGTACGTAGGTACCTACGTTGCATTAATATTTTACTTGATAGATAATAAGATCGGTATCGCATTTGTGACTCGTGTTTAAATTAAAGTGAACTTACATTTGGCACTAATAATTTACACTAAATAATGGATTTCTTCAAATGGAACATCTAATTATGACATATGGGGAAATAAGCAATCCAAAATATACCTCCAATTACTTCTCTCGCCCATGGTGGGGCGAGAGAGTCAGACTCTTACTAACACCCCCTCTGTTCCTGCTCTAGGCTGAAGCCGCAGCTACCATCCAAATTCAATTACATGAATGAGAAATACCAATATGTGGTCGTTGTCGACGTGTTGGTCGGATTCTCGATGGTGAATGCTATGGAAAATGTATATCTGCTTCGATTCAAGGGCTTGGATGTATTAGGATTAACATTATATAGACTATCAATTACACGTGAGAAACGAA